TGTGTTTTAACCCTCTATGGTGTTAATATATGTGTTTGAACCTTCTATGGTGATATTATATGTGTTTTAACCCTCTACGGTGATATTATATGTGTTTTAACCCTCTATGGTGATATTATATGTGTTTGAACCCTCCATGGTGATATTATATGTGTTTTAACCCTCTATGGTGATATTATATGTGTTTTAACCCTCTTTGGTGATTATATATCTGTTTGAAACCTCTATGGTGATATTATATGTGTTTTAACCCTCCATGGTGATATTATATGTGTTTGAACCCTCTATGGTGATATTATATGTGTTTGAAACCTCTATGGTGATATTATATGTGTTTTAACCTCTATGGTGATATTATATGTGCTTTTAACCCCTCTACGGTGATATTATATGTGTTTTAACCTCTACGGTGATATTATATGTGCTTTTAACCCTCTACGTGATATTATATGTGTTTTAACCCTCTATATGGTGATATTATATGGCTTTTAACCCTCTATGGTGATATTATATGTTTTAACCCTATGGTGATATTATATGTGTTTTAACCTCTATGGTGATATTATATGTGTTTTAACCTCTATGGTGATATTATATGTGTTTTAACCCCTCTACGGTGATATTATATGTGTTTGAACCCTCTATGGTGATAATATATGTGTTTGAACCCTCTATGGTGATAATATATGTGTTTGATCCCTCTATGGTGATATTATATGTGTTTGAACCCTCTATGGTGATAATATATGTGTTTGAACCCTCTATGGTGATATTATGTGTGTTTGATCCCTCTATGGTGATATTATATGTGTTTGAACTCTCTATGGTGATATTATATGTGTTTGATCCCTCTATGGTGATATTATGTGTGTTTGATCCCTCTATGGTGATAATATATGTGTTTGAGCCCTCTATGGTGATAATATATGTGTTTGAACCCTCTATGGTGATAATATATGTGTTTGAACCCTCTATGGTGATATTATATGTGTTTGAACTCTCTATGGTGATAATATATGTGTTTGAACCCTCTATGGTGATATTATATGTGTTTGAACCCTCTATGGTGATATTATATGTGTTTGAACTCTCTATGGTGATAATATATGTGTTTGAGCCCTCTATGGTGATAATATATGTGTTTGAACCCTCTATGGTGATATTATATGTGTTTGAACGCTCTATGGTGATATTATATGTGTTTGAACTCTCTATGGTGATAATATATGTGTTTGAGCCCTCTATGGTGATAATATATGTGTTTGATCCCTCTATGGTGATAGTATATGTGTTTGAACTCTCTATGGTGATATTATATGTGTTTGATCCCTCTATGGTGATAATATATGTGTTTGAACTCTCTATGGTGATAATATATGTGTTTGAACCCTCTATGGTGATATTATATGTGTTTGAACTCTCTATGGTGATATTATTATGTGTTTTAACCCTTATGGTGATATTATATGTGTTTTAACCCTCTACGGTATATTATATGTTTTAACCCTCCATGGTGATATTATATGTGCTTTTAACCCTCTACGGATATTATATGTGTTTAACCCTCTACGGTGATATTATATGTGTTTTAACCCTCTATGGTGATATTATATGTGTTTTAACCCTCTATGGTGATATTATATGTTTGAACCTCCATGGTGATATTATATATGTTTTTAACCCTCTACGGTGATATTATATGTGTTTTAACCTCTACGGTGATATTATATGTGTTTTAACCCTCTATGGTGATATTATATGTGTTTGAACCCTCCATGGTGATATTATATATGTGCTTTAACCCTCTACGGTGATATTATATGTGTTTTAACCTCTACGGTGATATTATATGTGTTTTAACCCTCTATGGTGATATTATATGTGTTTAACCCTCTATGGTGATATTATATGTGTTTTAACCTCTATGGTGATATTATATGTGCTTTTAACCCTCTACGGTGATATTATATGTGTTTTAACCTCTACGGTGATATTATATGTGCTTTAACCCTCTACGGTGATATTATATGTGTTTTAACCCTCTATGGTGATATTATATGTTTTTAACCCTCTATGGTGATATTATATGTTTTAACCCTATGGTGATATTATATGTGTTTTAACCTCTATGGTGATATTATATGTGTTTTAACCTCTATGGTGATATTATATGTGTTTTAACCCTCTACGGTGATATTATATGTGTTTTAACCTCTACGGTGATATTATATGTGCTTTAACCCCTACGGTGATATTATATGTGTTTTAACCCTACGGTGATATTATATGTGTTTTTAACCCCTCATGGTGATATTATATGTGTTTTAACCCTCTATGGTGATATTATATGTGTTTGAACCTCCATGGTGATATTATATATGTGTTTTAACCCTCTATGGTGATATTATATGTTTTAACCTCTATGGTGATATTATATGTGTTTAACCTCTACGGTGATATTATATGTGTTTGAACCCTATGTGATATTATATGTGTTTTAACCTCTACGGTGATATTATATGTGTTTTAACCCTCTATGGTGATATTATATATGTGTTTTAACCTCTATGGTGATATTATATGTGTTTGAACCCTCCATGGTGATATTATATGTGTTTGAACCCTCTATGGTGATATTATATGTGTTTTAACCCTCTATGGTGATATTATATGTTTTAACCCTATGGTGATATATGTGTTTTAACCCTATGGTGATATTATATGTGCTTTAACCTCTACGGTGATATTATATGTGTTTTAACCCTCTACGGTGATATTATATGTGCTTTTAACCTCTACGGTGATATTATATGTGTTTTAACCCTCTATGGTGATATTATATGTGTTTAACCTCTATGGTGATATTATATGTGTTTTAACCTCTATGGTGATATTATATATGTGTTTTAACCCCTCATGGTGATATTATATGTGTTTTAACCCTCTATGGTGATATTATATGTGTTTTAACCCTCTACGGTGATATTATATGTGTTTTAACCCTCTATGGTGATATTATATGTGTTTGAACTCTATGGTGATATTATATGTGTTTTAACCCTATGGTGATATTATATGTGCTTTAACCCTCTACGGTGATATTATATGTGTTTTAACCCTCTATGGTGATATATATATGTGTTTTAACCTCTACGGTGATATTATATGTGTTTTAACCTCTATGGTGATATTATATGTTTAACCTCTATGGTGATATTATGTGTTTGAACCTCCATGGTGATATTATATGTGTTTTAACCCTCTATGGTGATATTATATGTGTTTTAACCCTCTATGGTGATATTATATGTGTTTTAACCCTCTACGGTGATATTATATGTGTTTTAACCCTCTATGGTGATATTATATGTGTTTGAACCCTCTATGGTGATATTATATGTGTTTTAACCCTCTACGGTGATATTATATGTGTTTTAACCCTCTATGGTGATATTATATGTGTTTTAACCCTCTACGGTGATATTATATGTGTTTTAACCTCTATGGTGATATTATATGTGTTTGAACCCTCTTGGTGATAATATATCTGTTTGAACCCTCCATGGTGATATTATATGTGTTTGAACCCTCTATGGTGATATTATATGTGTTTGAAAACCTCTATGGTGATATTATATATGTGTTTTAACCCTCCATGGTGATATTATATGTGTTTGAACCCGCTATGGTGATAGTATATGTGTTTGAAACCTCTATGGTGATATTATATGTGTTTGAACCCTCTATGGTGATATTATATGTTAACCCTTATATTTATGTGTTTACCTGTATATTATTGTTGAACCTGGTGATATTATATGTGGAAACTAGGTATATTATATGTGTTTGAAACCTCTATGGTGATATTATATGTGTTTGAAACCCTCTACGGTGATATAATATGTGTTTGAACCCTCTTTACAACAAAGAAGTTTATTTCCTATTCAACCCTATGTATCAAATCTCCTATATGTTTGTTTATATATCGCTAAATCCTTTATCAATTAGATATAAGTACTTGAATCCTTTATAAAATTAGATATAAGTAATTGGATCCGTTATAAATTAGATATAAGTAATTGAATCCTTTATAAAATTAGATATAAGTAAGTGAGAAGATGTGTTTTTTTTCATATTTTATTCCTTTCTTTTTTCTTCTTTTGTTTAACATGATATAAAATATACATAAATTACTGGTCTTTACCCAACAGTGATTGAAGAAATTCTTATCCTACTTATCCTAACCTCACTAAACTTATCCTAACTTAACTAAACTAATTCTAACTTAATATAACCATACTAAACTGATTCTAATTTAACCTAACCACACTAACCTGATTCTAACTTAAACTTAATTTAACTTGTCTGTACGTGTGTGTGTGTGTGTGTGTGTGTGTGTGTGTGTGTGTGTGTGTGTGTGTGTGTGTGTGTGTTCATATTTGCTGATTCATGAAATAACCCATAAATTTCACCCGACCTGGAAAAAAATTATAGGTGAATCAAAATAAAATCCTGAAACACCCGTAAGATATTCGTCTCACTACAGATGACAATAAAAGTCTCCGGGTAATATTGGCGTCATTCCAGCAGTGTTCTTTATGTGGTGGTTTATGTCAGTCAGTTTAGTGTTCCCATGTCACCAGCTGCGGGAATTATGGAGGCCTTAACCTGGTGGCAGTATAGACACTGGCGGCCCCGCGATTACCCAAGACATATCAAAACGTTCAGGCTTTCTCTATTCCCCGTAAACATGACGTCAGCGCGGGAATCCACTGGGCTCCCCACCTGGGACACAGATGCCGCTTAGGTAATATAATATAGATATATAATTTATCCTTAGATATACGATACATTCATACAGTCTGCTTGACGCAACACTCAGCAGTGGTCACACAGGGATTCATGAAGGTGTTTTACCTGAGCGATATACAATAATACCGCTGTTGTGGCTGACATGTGTGGAGCATGAAGAACGTTTTGGCAAGAGGAGCTGCAGCGACTGGGCGGCATATATAATGGGCGAGACGCCACGACAACACCACCAGAACCACTCCAGGTCCAGCAGCAGCTCTTCCTCTACCCTACAAGACAAGAGAATGCGTCCCTCCGTGCTGTGTGCGTTGGTGATGGTGGCCGTGATGGCTCCTTACCTCCCTCAGTGCCACGCCCAGGGTTGGGAGGCACTGTTGCCAGCCTTCGTGGACAAGCTATCAGGGTGAGCCAACTGTTTATCTGGTAACAATGTTTCCAGGGTCAATTGTCAGTGTGGAGGACAGGTCATGTAGGGAAGGTTGGGTGTAGCCTCGAACGTTGAATCATCATCCTCTATATGGACGTAATAATACACCCAACTGGTTGACTTAAGATGAAGCACGAAAGTAACATCAAAATTTTAATAAGTCATTACACCTTAATTGTGTCAACTTCAGTCAACCACTTTAATGGTTCTTAATATCAACCGGTGAAGAATATTTCACCTTATGAGTCTTCATGAATCCTGATGAAATACTATTCTAAATATCTTAGATACGCAGCTTGTACCCTGAGCTGCATGGTTATTGAGCCTCTAACTTACACCACCGTGTTGTTGTGTTTAGGTTGTGGAGGAACGGGGAGGTGGAGCTGCTGGGCAGACACTACTGTAGCTTCGCCGTCAAGCCAAAAATCAAAAGTTGGGAACTTTACTTCTTGGGAACCGTGTCCTGCCCTGGCTGGACACGCATCAGAGGCCACTGTGAGTATATTTACTTTTCGTCATGTTTTCTTCCAGTGTAGTTGGATCTTTGTTTTGAAAATAACTTTAATGTATTTTGGAAGAGCAGTACACTAAGTCTCTTGTCTCCTCATCTCCATCGCCTTGTCTTCAGTTTCTTCTCAATGTACTTAATCTATCATCTTAGAGCGTCGTTCATGATGTGTTCAGTGTAGCACACCTGACGCTGAGGCAGCCTCTGTCTCTATGAGTGTCTTACATAAGGTAGAAGTGTGAGGGACTTATGTTAATGGTCAGGTTATAAAAGATGTTTTAGATAAATTTTATTCATATAAAGGTTATGAATAAATTATTATTTTCATACATTTATCTTCATGTATAAGCTAAGGCACCAACTCCATCATTATGTTACCACAAGGAAAGTACTGCACATGTACTGTACATAAATGTGTACCTGTGTTTGTGTTCATACACAGGTGATACCGGGCTATTTAACAGCATTCATTGTCTCCCTCACAGCCGAGACCAGAAGCTACTCTAATGTGGTCAACAAGGCGACTGAGGACTTCCTGAGGAATGCGCTCAAGGCCGGCATCATCACCGAAGAGGATCTCAATACCTGGCTCAATAACTAACTCTTTGGTTGACCTTATCTCTGAAAACACGCTCCAGCTCCTCGTAGACTTCCACCTCTCCTCACCTTTCAAGAAACGTACCTGTAACACACACACACACACACACACACACACACACACCAGTTGGGAGTCTGGAGCCAGGTACTACCCATCGCTGGGCTCCTTAGCTATCACAATGTACCAACATTACTCACAATCAACATTAAGTTGTGAGGATGCGTTACCCCCAGAGCTCACGAGCCAATCTTCACATTTATATATTCATACATTATCATATAATGGAAGACTTATTTTACTGATTCTTCTGATGCAATTTTTTTTTTGTATGTGTTTGTATCTTTAAGGGAAAATCTTACCAATAAAAATGTTTTTTCGAATAAGTCTGTATGTATTGTTCCTTATCCCATATTCTTACACCAGCGGCCAGAGACTTGAAGCACAGGCCAGAGGTTCCCTAGAAAAAGTAAATAAAAATCTTATGAAGATACTTTTCTCCTGCGATACGTTAATGGAAGAAATTGAAGGTTAAAGATGCAGGGGAAGACAGCAACTAAGATGGGTAACTCGAATTACAGGTTCTGGTCCCAATAGACACAACCATAACTGAGAGATTTGGTAGAGACAACCATCTCCCACACACACACGAGTATAACACACTGATTGGTTGGTTGTTATCGTTATTGAAGAGAAACAGAATAATTACGAGCAGAGAGTGACAGGCAGCGACAACCACACTATCACTAGTTTACTCTTGACTCACCCTGTAACAGTGAGTAGAGTTATCAAACTTCTCTTTTCATCCTTCACTCCCCAAAAATTATTCATTATCATAATTTAGAAACATAAAGTGAAGATTTATGTCTAGTGTTTATATACAGAAGTTGTTATTCACTAATATAGATTTCTTCATGACATTAATACCCAAACTTTAAATGGTTGTTTAATGAAATAATAAATACACAAAGGATATTTTTTTTCTTTTAAATGTCCCCAAAAATTCTCAAAGTTTACAAAGAATTTCCATATGGGTGCCAACAAACGGGTGGATTATTCAGTTTCAATCCATATTCGGGTAGGTAAGTCAGGTTTAACTGTAGTGTTGGCTATGGTGATTCGTTCCTATAAATCCCTCTAGCCTACACCACGAATTTTGAAGGGATAGAAAAGGGTCTTTTTTATTCCCCTACCTTCCTCTCTCCTCCACCCCCCCCCATCCCGTCACCCCATCCCCCCTCTGTCCTACCTCCTCCCATCCACATCCCTCCCCATCCCCCCACCCCAAAAAACACAATCATAGTGTGGTCAAATGAGGACTTCAGTTAGCCAAGTAAGTGACTCATCTCTTTACCAATCCAGTGACCTATTTTTTTTGGGGGGCATTAAAGACCTCTCAGTTATTTACGTCGACATAACCTAGAGCGCCATCTTGTTAAAATATTAAATTAGAATCTATTAATACAAGTTCAGCGTCATTAATAAGTCTTGTCATTAAGTATTTATTCAGTGATAAAAAATACAGCCTAATGACACATTTATCCATTACTATCCATTAATATACAACAGACATTCAGGCATTCATTTTCAGAGTACTGTATCGGGTATTTCTTCCATTATATTAAATAATGGTTGCCTCTCGTGTAACGAGTATGGCCGGGCCAAGGGCCACCTACGCGTGAATTTGTTTATGATGTAGAAGCTGTCGCCAACACAACAACCACACCCTAAGTTAACGAGTTGCGTGACCCAGTGTCAAGGAATAGTCCGAGAAGAACGGACAACTCGCCAACAGCACTGGCTAACCATTACCCCGGAACACGATCCGCAAATCGATTAACATCCAGGTCCCCAATTACTGCTGGGTAGGTAGAGGCCATCATTTAGTTATCACCACTTTATAACGTCAAACTAACTATAACGACCATATCACTAAACAACCACAGCAACAACCACCATCACCATCACCACCAGCAAAAATTACACTGTTGTTTCATCTACTTAAATTAATATACATCTATAATTTACTTTGTATTAACATCAGTACCCCTGATGGTGTTGCCAGGTTGGGTTTAGATTCAGACGTCGTTTCCCACCCTTCCTTCCCTCCCCAGCAGATGTTTGTGGTTGGTTCCTCCCTCCCTCCCCAGCAGCTGTTTGTGGTTGGTTCCTCCCTCCCTCCCTCCCCAGCAGCTGTTTGTGGTTGGTTCCTCCCTCCCTCCCAGCAGCTGTTTGTGGTTGGTTCCTCCCTCCCTCCCCAGCAGCTGTTTGCGGTTGGTTCCTCCCTCCCTCCCTCCCCAGCAGCTGTTTATGGATGGTTCCTCCCTCCCTCCCCAGCAGCTATTTGTGGTTGGTTTACGTGCGAGGCGAGCATGTTGACCATTACACCACAGACTTCTCCGAGCCACCCACCAAACACCTCCAGTCATCAAGATCCACGCCACTGTTGCCTCCATCGGTGATAAGAATTTAAGTGAAGAAATTAAACCTGTCAGCAATATTTACTGAGAAAATATATTACACATTTCTTTTCCTCTAGACTCTAGAGGAAAAGAAATGTGTAATGTTATGTCTAGAGTCTAGAGCTCTCATGTGGTTTAATGCCATGTTTTACCTGAATTTTGTAAGTCTGAGGTCTTCAGCGTTCACATGAAACCTTTTGAATGTTTGTTTTGACTCTCTGTTATACAAACTCTTCCTCTTGACTCTTACTTTGAATCACCGAAAAAAAAATATTTATAATCAACGGGACTTAGAAACCTTCCATATCAGGATAGGTTAAAGAAACTTAACTTGCATTCCCTAGAAAGACGAAGAGTGCGGGGAGATATGATAGAAGTATTTAAGTGGGTGAAAGGAATCAATAAAGGGGATATAGATAAAGTTCTTATAATATCCGAGCAGGATAGGACTCGGAGCAACGGATTCAAGTTGGATAAGTTTAGGTTTAGGAGGGAGATAGGAAGAAACTGGTTCACAAAGAGGGTGGTGGACGAGTGGAATAAGCTTAGCAACTTTGTAGTAAGTGCGGGAACTCTGGAAAGTTTCAAAAGGAGGCTAGATAGATTCATGGATGATAGAGAGTGGTAGTAACTCTCGACAGGAGCTGCCATGCACAGGCCAACCGGCCTATTGCAGACTCCTTATTTTCTTATGTTCTTATGTAAGAGTGTAGAGAGCCCGTATTTATAGTTTTCCAGCACCGACTCTTCACCGCTACTACTACTGGTGACGCTGTTGCCATGGAAACTAGAAACGAGAAACGGTGTGTGTGTGTGTGTGTGTGTGTGTGTGTGTGTGTGTGTGTGTGTGAGTGTGTGTACAGGTGACCAACAATCCACACCAGATTCCCAAGTTATAATGCATTATTGTCGTCTCACTACAGTTGACAATAAAAGTCTCCGGGTAATATTGACGTCATTACAGCAGTGTTCTTTATGTGGTGGTTTATGTCAGTCAGTTTAGTGTTCTCACGTCACCAGCTGCGGGAATTATGGAGGCCTTAACCTGGTGGCAGTATAGACACTGCTTGGCCGCCCCGAGTCATCATAAAAACATTACAATATGTTCAGGCTCTAATTGGTTCCTGAAAATACACCGTTGTGGATTTCATTGACAGAACAAGGAATCCAAGGGTAACCCCCACCTGGGACACAGATGCCGCTTAGGTAATATAATATAGATATATAATTTATCCTTAAATTTACGATACATTCATACAGTCTGCATGACGCAACACTCAGCAGTGGTCACACAGGGATTCATGAAGGTGTTTTACCTGAGCGATATACAATAATACCGCTGTTGTGGCTGACAAGTGTGGAGCATGAAGAACGTTTTGGCAAAAGGAGCTGCAGCGGATAGTGACGTATATAAACCGGTGGAAGACGCCACAACAAACTGTGACGACACGAGAAGTAGTTCGGGTCTAGCAACAGCTCTTCCTCTACCCTACAAGACAAGAGAATGCGTCCCTCCGTGCTGTGTGCGTTGGTGATGGTGGCCGTGATGGCTCCTTACCTCCCTCAGTGCCACGCCCAGGGTTGGGAGCTACTGTTGCCAGCCTTCGTGGACAAGCTATCAGGGTGAGCCAACTGTTTATCTGGTAACAATGTTTCCAGGGTCAATTGTCAGTGTGGAGGACAGGTCATGTAGGGAAGGTTGGGTGTAGCCTCGAACGTTGAATCATCATCCTCTATATGGACGTAATAATACACCCAACTGGTTGACTTAAGATGAAGCACGAAAGTAACATCAAAATTTTAATAAGTCATTACACCTTAATTGTGACAACTTCAGTCAACCACTTTAATGGTTCTTAATATCAACCGGTGAAGAATATTTCACCTTATTGGTCTTTATGAATCCTGTTGAAATACTATTCTAAATATCTTAGATACGCAGCTTGTACCCTGAGCTGCATGGTTATTGAGCCTCTAACTTACACCACCGTGTTGTTGTGTTTAGGTTGTGGAGGAACGGGGAGGTGGAGCTGCTGGGCAGACACTACTGTAACTACGCCGTCAAGCCAAAAATCCGTTCGTGGAAACTTTACTACTTGGGAAGCATCACCTGCCCTGGCTGGACCTCCATCAAAGGCGAATGTGAGTATATTCAGTTCTTTCTTCTTTTCTTTCACTGTAGTATTCAGGAAGAGCAGTACACCAAGCCTTACTACTGAATGGATAAAGAATCCCTAGAAAGAATTCAGAGGAGAATGACAAGGCTAATCCCGGGCATTAGGAACCTTGAGTTCAGAGACAGGTTAAAGCATCTTAATTTGCACTCCCTCGATAGACGTAGAGTGAGGGGCGATGTGATCGAGGTGTATAAATGGAAGTCAGGACTAAACAAAGGTGATATAACAAAGGTACTCAAACTATCCAACCTGGAGCGAACTCGTAACAATAGTTTTAAATTTGACAAATTTAGATTTAGGCGCGAAATAAGTACACATTGGTCTGGAAATATAGTGTATTAGTGGAACGTTACCAAACATCATCATTAATTCGAACACATTGGATAGCTTCAAACATAGGTTGGGTGTATATGTGACCGATAGAGGTTGGGCGTAAACGGGACTGCCCAGAATAGGTCAATCGGCCCGCTGCAGTTTCCTCCATTCATATGCTCTTATGCTAAGTCTCTTGTCTCCTCATCTCCATCGCCTTATCTTCAGTTTCTTCTCAATGTACTTAATCTATCATCTTTGAGCGTCGTTCATGATGTGTTCAGTGTAGCACACCTGACGCTGAGGCAGCCTCTGTCTCTATGAGTGTCTTACATAAGGTAGAAGTGTGAGGGACTTATGTTAATGGTCAGGTTATACAAGATTTGATTCATATAAAGGTTATGAATAAATTATTATTGTCATAAATTTATCTTCATGTATAATCTAAGGCACCAACTCCATCATTATGTTACCACAAGGAAAGTAATGCACATGTACTGTACCTAAATGTGTACCTGGGCTTGTGTTCATAAACAGGTGATACCGGGCTATTTAACAGCATTCATTGTCTCCCTCACAGACCAGAGCAGAAGTTCCTCCAAAGTGATCAACCAGACAATTGGTGACTTCCTAAATAAGGCGCTCGCAGCCGGCCTCATCGACGAACAGCAGCTCAATGATTGGCTCAAGACCTCGTAGACCCCCACCTGTCCTCACGACACACAACAACACCACTTGGTTGATGATTACATAAACCTCTTGCTCCTCTCACCTCTTAACACACTCACGTCCCAGCTGGGTTCTTCAGGTTATCACACTGTATCAACATAACCCATAACCAATATTTTCTATAAACATTATACTCTGAGGAGGAGTTACTCCCAATGTTTGTTAACACATATACTGTATTATCGTGTAATGTAAAATTTATATTACTGTATTTTCTACAGGAATGTTTTCTTACTTTTGTATTTTAAAATGTAAATTCCTTTCCAATAAAAACATTGTTCCAACACCTCTGGATTTATATTGCCTCTATTAATTGTTGAAATACAGCTGAATTATCCTGACCATATTATACAGCATTAATATAATCAATTACCCCAATAGATTAGCCCCCCCCTCCTCCTCTCACCAACACACAGGTTATCAAGTTAATAACAACATTGTCATAATTTGGGTAAACATTAATAAGATGTTTTATACATTGTTGGTTGATTTGTTCTTTGGGTAACTTATTTATTAGAACTTTTGGCTTGTAATTATTTTGGATAGAGGATTATGGGAAATGATTTTGGGAATTCCAACATATTATCTACAGATGCTTTTGTGTGTGTGTGTGTGTGTGTGTGTGTGTGTGTGTGTGTGTGTGTACAGGTGACCAACAAGCCACACCAGATTCCCAAGTTATAATGCATTATTGTCGTCTCACTACAGTTGACAATAAAAGTCTCCGGGTAATATTGACGTCATTCCAGCAGTGTTCTTTATGTGGTGGTTTATGTCAGTCAGTTTAGTGTTCTCACGTCACCAGCTGCGGGAATTATGGAGGCCTTAACCTGGTGGCAGTATAGACACTGGCCGCCATGAGTCAACAGCAACAAAGCAAATTTTGCCCCTCGGTCAGGAAAGTTGCTGTGCAGGTTTTTTTCAGCACGAACACTGCTGATTGGTGAAAAAGGATCCGGCTAGAGCAAAGGTGTCCACAGATATTTCCTGCCTGGGAAGGAAATGCCACTCAGATCATTATATAAAATTTATCCTTAGATTTACGATACATTCATACAGTCTGCATGACGCAACACTCAGCAGTGGTCACACAGGGATTCATGAAGGTGTTTTACCTGAGCGATATACAATAATACTGCTGTTGTGGCTGACAAGTGTGGAGCATGAAGAACGTCTTGGCAAGAGGAGTTGGGCGGCATACATACTGGCCGAGACGTCACGACAAAAACACCAGAACCACTCCAGGTCCAGCAGCAGCTCTTCCTCTACCCCACAAGACAAGAGAATGCGTCCCTCCGTGCTGTGTGCGTTGGTGATGGTGGCCGTGGTGGCACCTTACCTCCCTCAGTGCCACGGCCAGGTTTGGGAGGCGCTGCTGCCAGCCTTCGCGGACAAGCTATCAGGGTGAGCCAACTGTTTATCTGGTAACAATGTTTCTGGGAGAGCTGAGCATTATGGAGGACAGGCGAAATTGGATGGGTTGTGTGTCGCCTTTTATAGTAACGTATTGATAAGTAATAGTGATTATAATAGGAGTTTATTAACAATTATATTAAAGATTTTGAATGCAGTTGTAGTCAAAATAATAATAGTAGTAATGTGCATAGGAATAATAATTATAACAATAACAATAATAATAATAATAATAATAATAATAATAATAATAATATAATAATAATAATAATAATAATAATAATAATAATAATAATAATAATAATAGCCACGATGAACAAAGGATCGTATGATGAACATTACTCACATATCAAGATTTAGTAATACACTTAAGTGACTGACTGAATATTAACCATAAAAGTATTAGAAAAATTATACTGAGATAATTTGTACCTTGACTCTGTCTCCAAATTAGTGTTTTATATCTAATGAAGGCAGAGTCACTACAAATACTGATGATTTTTGTCTATATGTTTTGTATGTGAACCAATAAGGTGTATTCTTAATTTCCAATAGTCGTGAGAAGGTTTATAAATCTAACCCTGAATTGTATGTTGTGGTGTTCAGGTTGTGGAGGAACGGAGAAATGGAGCTCCTCGGTCAGTACTTGTGCAGCTACACTGTCAGGCCCCATCTTCGCTCTTTGGAACTTTACTTCAAGGGAAAAATGGCATGCCCTGAGTGGACCGCCATCATAGGCGAAGGTGACGACAAATTTTCCTATTCTTATTTATTTTTTCTTACGTAGTTTTTTTCTCTTGTATTTATGACTTGTCTTGCCTCATCCTCTCTCTCTCTCTCTCTCTCTCTCTCTCTCTCTCTCTCTCTCTCTCTCTCTCTCTCTTTCGTATGTGATCCTCCTGCAGAGAGGTTGAGAGATAACTAGATACATCCTCAATAGATCTCTTGGTTTAGACTTGAGTGAGATTATTGACAAAGTCTGAGGGGCTGTGTAAAAGAGACTTGGTTATAAATGATTAGGATAAATTATAAATACTTTTAAATACTAATATCTTCACTATGTAAGGTAAGACCATGACTACGCTCAGTTGTTTTCTTTGATACATTCATCATATTTAATCAGAGGCACTAACTCTATCATATGTCAATAATTGGAAATACCTTCACCTGTACTATATACCTGCACCTGCACTACTGTATATACCCGCACCTCTACTATATACCTGAATATACCTGATTATATATTAGTGCTGTTATCTATAAGTGATATTAAAGACGATTTATTATCTCCCTTACAGCCGAGACCAGAAGCCGGTCGAAGGTGCTTAACAAGACGACTGAGGACTTCCTAAGAAAGGCGCTCGCAGCTGGCATCATCACCGAAGAGGATCTCAATACCTGGCTTAGTCACTAACCCCTGAGAACACGCTCTAGCTCCTCGTAGACCTTCACCTCTCCTCACCTCTCAAGAAACGTACCTGTAACACACACACACACACACACACACACACACACACACACACACACACACACACCAGTTGGGAGTCTGGAGCCAAGTACTTCCCATCGCTGGGCTCCTTAGCTATCACAATGTACCAACATTACTCACAATCAACATTAAGTTGTGAGGATGCGTTACCCCCAGAGCTCAAGAGCCAATCTTCACATTTGTTTGTACATATACTGTATTATGTTAGACTTGTTTTACTGATTATTCTGCTGTGAATGTTTCCTTGTGTTTGTGTTTTAAGAGAAAAGCTTTCGAATAAAAGGACTTTATCGAAGGACTCTCTACAGTAGGCATATTATTTCCTCCTGTATGTTCCTTATGCAGAGTATTATTGTTGTTCATTAATGAATAAAACTGAAGCTTGGGGGTGATGGGAAAAGGCAGAGACTAAGATGGGTGAGTGAAATTAAAAACTCCTGTCCACAAAGACTGCCCAAAATATCGTTACGGTAGATGAGCTGTGGTCGCCAACTCCCAGACACTAAAATAACACCTTGACTGGTTAGGTTCACATCATCATTGAACGGATGCACAAGAAGAACGAGCAGGGAGTGGCAGTCAGCGCCCAATGTAAACCACACAGTAAAGTTAAAGGCTGTACCACCAGTCATGGGCCCCGAGAGGATGACTAGAGAGATACGTGCCTCCCCAACTCGACGACTTATAAACGCTTAAGTCCAGGGATTTTAAGATGGCATGACGCTGGTATTGAAATCCATGGACGCACTCCCCACACCAACACTCTCCCCCACACCAACACACACCCTCACACCAACACACCCCTCCACCAACACACTCCCCACCTCCCACACTCCCTCCACACCAACACACCCTCACTCCTACACACCCTCACACCAACACACTCCCTCACACCAACACACTCCTCACACCAACACACTCCCCACACCAACACACCTCCCCCACACCAACACACACACCCTCACACCAACACACACCCTCACACCAACACACTCCCCACACCAACACACACCCCCACACCAACACACACACACCCCACCAACACACTCCCCCCACCAACACACACACCCTCACACAACACACACCCCACCAACACACCCTCACACCAACACACACCCTCCACACCAACACACACCCCTCACACCAACACACACCCCACACCAACACACACCCCACACCACACACACCCCTCACACCAACACACACCCCCACACCAACACACACACACACCCTCACACCAACACACACCCCCACACCAACACACACCCTCACACCAACACACACCCCACACCAAACACACCCCCACACCAACACACACCCTCACACCAACACACACCCCCACACCCAACACACACCCCCACACCAACACACACCCCACACCCAACACACCCCCACACCCAACACACACCTCACACCACACACACCCCCACACCAACACACACCCTCACACCAACACACACCCCTCACACCAACACACCACACCAACACACACCCTCACACCAACACACACCCTCACACCAACACACACCCTCACACCAACACACACCTCACACCAACACACACCCTCACACCAACACACACCACACCCAACACACACCCCACACCAACACACACACACCTCACACCAAAACACCCTCACACCAACACACACCTCACACCAAACACACAACCCCCACACCAACACACCCCACACCCAACACACACCTCACACCAACACACACCCCCACACCAACACACCCTCACACCCAACACACCCCGCACCAACACACACCCTCACACCCAACACACACCCCACACCAACACACACCCTCACACCAACACACACCCCCACACCAACACACACCCCACACCAACACACACCCTCACACCAACACACCACACCCACATACCCACACCAACACACACCTCACACCCAACACACCTCACACCACACACACCCCCACACCAACACACACCCTCACACCCAACACACACACCCTACACCAACACACACCCTCACACCAACACACACCCCCACACCAACACACCCTCACACCACACACCCCCACACCAACACACACCCTCACACCAACACACACCCTCACACCACACCCCCACACCAACACACACCCTCACACCAACACACACCCCACCAACACACACCCTCACACCAACACACCCTCACACCAACACACACCCCCACACCAACACACACCCCCACACCACCACACACCACACCAACACACTCTCACACCAACACACACCCCGGCACACCAACACACACCCCCACACCAACACACACACCCCCCACACCAACACACACCCCCACCCAACACACACACACCTCACACCAACACACACCCCACACCAACACACACCCCCCACACCAACACACACCCTCACACCCTCAACACACCCCCACACCAACACACACCCTCACACCAACACACACCCTCACACACCAACACACCCTCACACCAACACACACACCCTCACACCAACACACACCCCCACACCAACACACACCCTCACAACAACACACACCCAACAACCTGGTACACACACGACAACCCTCACAACACACACACACCCAACAGCCTGGTACACACGACAACCCTCACAACACACACACACCCAACAACCTGGTACACACGACAACCCCTCACAAATACACACACACCCAACAACCTGGTAGCCAATACCATGACAACCTCACAACACACACACACACAACCAACAACCTGTACACACGACAACCCTCACAACACACACACACCCAACAACCCGGGTACACACGACGACAACCCCTCACAACACACACACAACCAACAACCTGGTACAATAATGACAACCCTCACAACACACACACACCCAACAGCCTGGTACACAATGACAACCCCTCACAACCACACACACACACCCAACAACCTGGTACACACGACAACCCTCACAACACACACACCCAACAGCCTGGTACACACGACAACCCCTCACAACACACACACACACACCCAACAGCCTGGTACACACGACAACCCTCACAACACACACACACACACACATTCCAACAACCTGGTACACACGACAAACCCTACAACATTACCAATACACCCAACAGCCCTGGTACACACGACAACCCCACAACACACACACCCAACAACCTGGTGTACACACCGACAACCCCACAACATACCACACACCCAACAACCTGCGGCCATTAATGACAACCCTCACAACACACACACACACCCAACAACCTGGTGTACACACGACAACCCCTACAACACACACACACAACCAACAACCTGGTACACACACGACAACCCTCACAACACACACACCCAACAACCTGGTACACACGACAACCTCACAACACACACACACCCACAACCTTGGTGTACACACACGACAACCCCACAAAGGCACACCCAACAACCTGGTGTACACACGACAACCCTCCTCACAACACACACACACCCAACAACCCGGGTACACGACAACCCTCACAACACACACACCCAACAACCCGGTACACACGACAACCCCCAACACACACACACCCAACAACCTGGTACACACGACAACCCTCACAACACACACACACCCAACAACCCGGTACACACACGACAACCCCCACAACACACACACCCAACAACCTGGTACACACGACAACCCTCACAACACACACACACCCAACAACCTGGTACACACGACAACCCTCACAACACACACACACAACCAACAAATCGGTACACACGACAACCCACAACACACACACACCCAACAACCTGGTACACATGACAACCCTCAACACACACACAACCAACAACCCGGTACACACGACAACCCTCACAACACACACACACACCCAACAGCCTGGTACACACGACAACCCTCACAACACACACACACACACCCAACAACCTGGTACACACGACAACCCCCACAACACACACACCCAACAACCTGGTACACACGACAACCCTCACAACACACACACAACCAACAGCCTGGTACACACGACAACCCTCACAAATGGCCACAACCAACAACCCAGTACACACGACAACCCTCACAACACACACACACCCAACAGCCTGGTACACGACAACCCTCACAACACACACACACACCCACAGCCTGGTACACACGACAACCCTCACAACACACACACACCCAACAGCCTGGTACACACGACAACCCCTACAACACACACCCAACAACCTGGTACACACGACAACCCCTCACAACACACACAACCAACAACCCGGTACACACCTTATCAACCCCTCACAACACACACACACAACCAACAGCCTGGTACACACGACAACCCTCACAACACACACACACACACCCAACAACCCAGGCCACACGACAACCCTCACAACACACACACCCAACAACCTGGTACACACGACAACCCTCACAACACACACACACAACAGCCTGGTACACACGACAACCCCAACACACACACACAACCAACAGCCACAGGTACACACGACAACCCCTACACAATACACACACCCAACAACCCGGTACACGACAACCCCACAACACACACACCCAACAGCCCAGTACACACGACAACCCCTACAACACACACACCCAACAACCCGGTACACACGACAACCACAACACACACACCCAACAAATCATACACACGACAACCCTCACAACACACACACACCCAACAGCCTGGTACACACGACAACCCCTCACAACACACACACCCAACAACCTGTACACACGACAACCCCTACAACACACACACACACCCAACAGCCTGGTACACACGACAACCCCACAACACACACACCCAAATAACCTGGTACACACACGACAACCCTCACAACACACACACCCAACAACCTGGTGCTAACACCGACAACCTCACAACACACACACCCAACAACCTGGTACACACGACAACCCTCACAACACACACACACCCAACAGCCTGTACACACGACAACCCTCACAACACACACACACCCAACAACCAGGTACACACGACAACCCCACAACACACACACACACACCCAACAACCAGGTGTACACACGACAACCCTCACAACACAATACCCAACAACCTTGGTACACACGACAACCCCTCACAACACACACACACACACAGCCTGGGTACACACGACAACCCTCACAACACACACACACACAACCAACAGCCAGGTACACACGGACAACCCTCACAACACACACACACCCAAATAGCCTGGTACACACGACAACCCTCACAACAGCACACACACAACCAACAACCTGGTAACACACGACAACCCCACAACACACACACACCCAACAACC